CGACTAATATTACCAACACTACTTTCAAAATTTCCACTTCCACTACTGGGAGAATGACTAATACAACTACATTTATCACAAGGGGGGTTTTTGTGGAGATTTAGTAATTTTATAGTTAAGATCATGAGTCAATTGAGGCTAGACCACCATCGAAAACCTGGAAGCACTGGACGGCCGTTTCGTCCTATTATGGGACTCCTCAGCAGTGCGCATCCACGAACCCGCTCTCGCGAGATTCGAACCCAGGACCTACCAGTCTCGAGCCGGAGCCCTTAACCGATAGACCACTGAGCTGGCATCCAACGGTGTTTATGTCTAACCTCAACCAATCCACGAAATTGCGCAACCAACTTCCAATGTACTGAGGTAGATACCTGTCTCTACCTGACATGGAAGTTGGTTGCGCAATTTCGTGGATTGGTTGAGGTTAGACATTAACACCGTTGGATGCCGGCTCAGTGGTCTATCGGTTAAGGGCTCTGGCTCGAGATTGGTAGGTCCTGGGTTCGAATCTCGCGATAGCGGGTTCGTGGATGCGCACTGCTGAGGAGTCCCATAATAGGACGAAACGGCCGTCCAGTGCTTCCAGGTTTTCGATGGTGGTCTAGCCTCAATTGACTCATGATCTTAACTATAAAATTACTAAATCTCCACAAAAACCCCCCTTGTGATAATGATCATATGCTCACTAGGGACTGGCTCCTTGAGGTAATTCCTGGAGTTCTAGTGAGAAATCGTGGCCAGTGGAGCTAATCCATGTCAGGTAGAGACAGGTATCTACCTCAGTACATTGGAAGTTGGTTGCGCTATTTCGTGGATTGGTTGAAGTTAGACATAAACACCGTTGGATGCCAGCTCAGTGGTCTATCGGTTAAGGGCTCCGGCTCGAGACTGGTAGGTCCTGGGTTCGAATCTCGCGAGAGCGGGTTCGTGGATGCGCACTGCTGAGGAGTCCCATAATAGGACGAAACGGCCGTCCAGTGCTTCCAGGTTTTCGATGGTGGTCTAGCCTCAATTGACTCATGATCTTAACTATAAAATTACTAAATCTCCACAAAAACCCCCCTTGTGATAAATGTAGTTGTATTAGTCATTCTCCCAGTAGTGGAAGTGGAAATTTTGAAAGTAGTGTTGGTAATATTAGTCGAAGCAATACTACTACTGGTAGTAATTGTTGTTGTAGTAGTACTATCAGTTGTAGTACTAGGAACGTTAGTAGTTGACGTATTAGTAATAATATTAGTAGATTCGTAGAATTGTCATAGTGACAGTGAAAATGTTACTTTAGTAGTGCTAGCAATAACAGCAATAAAATTCATTGTTATAATAGCGTTAGTATTATTTTTGTAGTGAACGAGAGAACAGTTGGTGACAACTAAATTTACTGAACTACGGTACTACAGAACAGGTTCTTTCATTGTTATTCTGAACGAAGAACTTTGGGTGGACTTGAAGTTTAGGATAATGATGTCTTTTGAAATAACATTAAAATCTCCACAACCAAACCTTCCACCTTAAACAACACACTCAATCAAAATCATCCATTCGAGATACAAATCTTCTCCACCATTTCATATTTCATCATGTCATTTGTCTAAGATGATATGACTTAAATATTACAGCAATAAAAAAATTTCTAATATACATTTTCAAAGTAATATAACTAGCTAATTTACAGTCTTCATCGATTTCATCCTTGATGTATACATTTAAATGGATAGATGCATTTTAACTGTGTACTGTGTAGTAACAAATAACTATTACATTGATATTCACACAGAATAAAGAAAAGTCTTGATGTTAATGAAATAGTTTTAATGGTGTTCAGGTAAATTGTAATAAGAAAATGTCAGACAAGCGAAAGTCTAGAAACTTGTTATTCAGTTTTTCAGATGCTCTTACTTAAATTCCTTTCAGTAATTATTATTATCGATATTATTATTATTATTTGTAGTAGTAATAGCAGTAGTTTCTGAAGTGATAAATGTAGCAGAGGTAGTAGTAGTAGTGTGAGAGGAAGTAACTGTAGTATATTTTACTGGCACTAGTAGTAGTGTTACAACTGGAAGTAGTAGAGTTTGATGACATACTGTTTTGGTAGTCGTGTTTTTTGTAATTATAGGAGTAGTATTATTTAATGTAGGAGTAATAGGTGAAGTGATCATACTGCAACTTCATATATATTTCAATTCTATGAGCGGAGGTAGTAATGTGAAGAACGAAAACAAATGTGAAGACTTTCAAATGTATTTGAGCACAAAAATATAGAACGCCTTAGTAAAATCTGAGACCCACACAGTGGATAATTCATTTTGGAAAATATTCATTAACTAAGACTTAGTTGTTTCATTTTTTCCACATAGATCATTCTCTGTAGTCATTCTATTCTCTTCGATGTTCTCAACCTCCACCTCCAGACACTTATCTTTCGATTGATGATACATACTACTTATGTCTGTTGACATCAGCAACAAGCAAACCACACTGGTATACATCTGAAATATGGTTCCAAATATATGATATTATTACTGGTTCATCAGAAGAAAATACATATTTACTAACAATAAACAATAAGTAGTGTGATGAAAAGAGTAAACTAATATTGATTCTCTCATAATACTATACTGCACTTTAATATCCCTGTGAAGAGCAAACATGGTTAGAAAAGTATCCATATAAACATCAACTTATATAACTTTGAGATTACACGACTATTTTCATTATGAACCGTGATTTTCGCAACTACAATAAACATGATACCTTAGGGTAGCAGATGACATGTAGCTTTTGAACAGCATATACTTTATCTCATCATTTAACTATTCATTATTTATTGATAATGAAGCTATTTCACATTATGGTTTTGATAAAATACAGGACTGGCAGAGCAACGTTCTTCAACATAATTCCGTTTATTACTATTTGCTCAGTACTGAAGATAAATATTTGGTGATCACCACTGAGAAGTTAACAATCCACTTGATTGATATCTGATTAATGTACATTTATTTTCTTGCATATTGCCTGTCAGCAACTGTGATATCTTTGATTGAGTTTTTTTTTAACTTGAACAACGGAAGGTTGTACACTCTTCAGAAGCCCACGTGAATTGCTTATGAGAATACTAAACATAATGATATGTTAAAACAAGCAAAAGGTAGATACTTCGATAAAATACCTAGTTGTCAATAACAGATAGCTCAGATATAGGAGAAGGCTACTCATGTACCTTGGATAATACCATTGTAATCACATACCCAAAATGCACATATTGAGATGAGTTTATTTACTATCAACGATGTATAGTTGTTAATTTAAAAGTAAACAAAATCTCGTATGTTCATGATCAGATATTCACATGATTTAAAAATATATGTGAGATCATGGTGTCATCAATTCCTGAGTTATTTTTAAACATTTAATTAAATATGAAATAACGTTTTATAGAGTATAGTTTGTACGTCATAGCTTATCACGGCTAAACACAGTAAGATATCAGCTCATTTGTCTAGATGTTATGAATTTGCGTGAGATCTATGGTCTTCGATTCAGGTCCTGCATGTCGGATCGCCGATGCGTATTGTTGAGCAGATCTACACTGGAATAAAACGCTCGTCCAATGGTCGTCCACGCTGATAGGTTTATCATTTCAATAACATAATCTCTAGATGTTAGGCGGCTTACTTCAATTATCTACATTACTCATTATACTTCAGTATATGCGAAATTACCGAAACATATAATGTTATGTAGACCGAATTAGTAATTGACACTGCCTTCAACATTCAATATTGAATAGCTTATATTCATTCGAACGAATATTATGTAATGAGTGATACAGTGTGTTATCTCTGAAAAATCACTTTGTGTCTGTATAGATGAGGTTTGTAGAGTATCTAGTTGCTCTTCATCTTACATAATTATAACGTACATGGAACTGTAAATGAATTGATATTTTTTATTTACAAAATAGTTTATTAGGTAAAACTGCTAATTCTACTTAGTCAGATATTATTTCATCATGCTGACTGATACTTCCCGTAATGTATATCATATCCATCTACATCTTGTTGTTCTGGTTTTCTCTTCACCCAAAATTTAGTTTATTCTCTCCCACAGTAGATTATCGCTAACGTTGTCTGACTTGTGAATCTGGTGAATCTTGCGCGGACAGCGGTTTTCAACAGAATGTATAACAATGAGAAGGATAGAACCATTTTGCCACTGATGACTAGTTTATGATGGATGAATTCTGAGAGTTCTAGTGAGTAATCGTTAGCTGTTGAGCTATGCCATGTCAGGTAGATTTATGTACCTATCTCAATACAATGAAAAATGGTTGCGCGATTATTCAAATTGGTTGAAATTAGAGATAAACACAGCCTGATTACGAACGGCTTAGTGATCTGGAGATTAAGTATCTGCACTGAAAAACGGAAAACATAGATTCGAGTCCCTCAAGCGATATGGTGGATGAGGACTTTTGAGCAATCTCATATTAGGACGAAATAGTTTCATCAAATGTATCAAGGCCTGAAGCCAATATACAGTTGTTCTCAATCTTAAACTTGTATGAAGTAAGAAAATATGACAATAGCACAACAAACTTTTATAAAAATACTTTTTCCAGAAAAGAAAAGTCATTTAAAATCGCTATTATAAATCGGAACACTAAAACTGAATAAATTTTAAACTCACAAACACGGCATAGAATTCATCATTCTAAATTAACGTAACCTTCAACTGCTAATCCTCAAAAAACCGCCTACCGATATTCATATTTTGTTTTTGGTCTAACCTTATGATTATTGTTTTAGATCTAAGGTTGTTATCTGTTATTGAAGTGTATGTTGTTTGTTTATTAGTTATGCAAAATAGTATGCATATTTTGTTTTTTGTGTCTTTTATAATAAATCACCTTGAATAAACTAATTATCATCAACTTTCAAAAGTATAAATATGAAGAAGTAAAGAATTCTGTTTTGAAGGAAGAAAGAAAAATGAATCTATCTTGTTCACTTCTTGTCAATTTGTTCCATCTACTTTTTCATTTATCTAATTGTCATGGTAAGCTATCAGATATTTGTAAATATGATTTATCAGAGGGGGTTTTGTGGAGATTTAGTATTTGCATAGTTGAAAGCATGAGTCAATTGAAGCTAGATCGCTATGGGAAACCTGAGAGCACTAGACGGCCGTTTTGTCCTATTGTGAAACTTCTCAACAGTGCGCATCCACGATCCCGCCTCCCGAGATTCGAACCCAGGACCTACCAATTTCGAGCCGAAGCCCTTAACCGATAGACCACTGAGCTGGCATTCAACGGTGTTAATGTCTAACTTCAACTGATCCACGAAGTTGAGCAACCATTCACCAATTGTCTTCAGTGAGTTCCTATCTCACAACAGACGTGGTTTTGAACTCCACTAGTCACTGCTTCTCATTAGAGCTCCTACTTATACTTCTCGAAGTCACTGGTGAACATATGATTATATTAATTATCAGATGGAGTTTTGTGGAGATTTAGTATTTTTCATAGTTTAAAGCATGAGTCAATTGAAGCTATTCGTGGATGCGCACTGCTGAGGAGTCCCATAATAGGACGAAACGGCCGTCCAGTGTTTCCAGGTTTTTCATGGTGGTCTAACTTCAATTGACTCATGCTTTAAACTATGAAAAATATGATTTAGCCAAACTATTCATCATATTTAATTGATGTATCATTTGTTTATGTAAATTATTTGTTTCCTTCTTATTAAGTCATAGATCTGAAACAATTTTACCTGTTAAAAAGAATCTATGAAATTAAAAGTTAGTAACTATTTATAACCTTCGTCTTTTATAACATTCTACTTGTTCCATACATTGTTGCATAAGTCATTTATTTGTTTAGTCACAGTAAAGACAAAGCTTTTCAATAGAATGAATCTTAGATAAATAATTACAGGATAACTATCTTTAAACTCGCCATTACAATCATAGTTCATGCAATAGATAATCATTTAGATTTATGTAAACATGAGAGCATGAATAATGTGATTCAATCAGAAGACAAGCACGATGATGGTTACTATCGATTAATCGTTAGATGTATACATATGAATTGAATGATGATGTTTTTTAATTCCTTTTAATAGAATAATGAAAGACTTTACAATGTTTATAGTTAGTTGCACTGATAAAGATAACAAGGAAGCGCTAGAGATACGTTTCATCCTGTAATCAAACACTCTAACAAAGCATATCTACGATACAACATAGTAGAGTGAACACAAGAACTTCAATTATCCTCACTCAAGCTTAACATACAAACTACTGATACTATTTTCATTGACACACAACACTAAAAGATCTTTACTAATGTCACATGAATGTCTAATGAAAATTATCCAGTTACTAGGGGTTTACTATACATCATACTCCATAATATTCCAATATCTAAGTTTTTTATGGTGGAACTATATATAATGAAAATTAGTTCAAACAGAAAGGTTCATAGGTTTTCTATTTCACTATCCAAACTTAATCATTAACAATTATATGCTGATCGGCAGCCTATGCTGTATTCGGAGTATCGGGCATAAGTATGTTTGTAAGTAATTAAATACCAATTATATACTTTGATGATTACTTTACAGAATCATTGATGAATTACGATCGACTAATAACTAATGAAAAGAGTCAATTTCAAGAGAAGTTACGTAAGTTGTCCACATAATATGATTGTAGACATAGTACATATCTAGTAAAATTTAACGTTCATTTCATGAATTTCACATTCAAACATCACAGATTTTTAAATAAATCCTCTGATCATTGTGTGTTGTGATGTCATATTCTCTCATTAGTGTGCTCCATTCTGTTTCTTTTCTTGTCTTTGATCTGAAGTGACTAAATATGTGATCAAATGCGGTAGATGTAGTTTAATTATCAAATGCGGCGAAATTGCATTATAGTTCTTACTGCTACCTACCATTTATCTTTGTTTGTAATGCTTATGGTTTGATACGAAATCGGGTCAATCCGTATAGTATACTGTTTCGTCTTTGAATCTGTCTACCCACTTAAGTGCCGAGTATAACTTGTCTTATCTAGATTAAGACCTTGACGCAAAAGGCTGACTGGTTTAACCTTGAGGCTAGTATGCGTGACTTCGAAGTGGGGGAAGAGAGACGAAAACTATTTCTATCCCTGATTGGCTGACAAGCACACGAGAGACAGAGAAGACAAGGACTACTGGAACACTAATCACTTTATTCCAATCTCGATCTAGCACTGGAATTCCCAATTCAGATCAGTGTCAAAAGATACATGAATAAATAGAGGAATAACCTGACTACAACTTACAATAATCAGGAAATTACAATTATGTCCAAAACTAGTGATTATAATAAAAAATAGAGTACAATAGTTCTGGAAGAAAAAATGCTATGGCACTGAATCATACGTCAAACAAAAGCTCATGATCTGTAGAATAGACTAGGGACAAAAGTAAATGTTACAGTTATACAAACTTTCAATTAAATGAAATAACGTTCCCAAAAAAGCTTCCGTAGTTTGTTAAGCCTTCTTGTTTCGCAGTTCACATCAGATACACATATAGCAACAAGAGACTGATCAATTATAGTTGTTAACGTTAATGAGTAAATTCAAACAGCGAAAGTAGATGAATGAATCGATCACTATTTCGTTCACATGACTAAAACACAAGAGTATATTTCGAAGTGAGATTACAGTCATCGAAAATATCAGTACCAAGTTATAATAATATAGTCTATTCCAATGTGATGATAATTAGACATCTCAATATTAATTTCAATGAAACGAATATGGTGAATTTTGAATTAATAAAGATAGAATGCTTAAGAACTTGCTCATTTTTGATCAAGAGGCTAACGTGAATCAATGTGAATTTCAAAAGAGGACAAGACAGTAGTAACATTGAGATCTCATTTGAAATGAGTGCAAAAAGTGATGATAATATACTTAAAATTTCCTTCGGAATTTAATAGTCCTCTAAAAAAATTGAAGATAAATGAATCAATGAGTAGACTGGGAACAAAAATTTACGTTTGGAATTGACTCCATTTGGTATCAGGTTGCTTGTCTTGTAGTATAATAAAAGTGATAATAATTTTTATTAGAACTGTCTATTGTTCCTACATTGATCCATTCTGTGTTGCAGATATTTAATAAGCCTTCTCTGTAGTTGAAACAATCAAATGGATGCCCAGTTGTAGTAAACGGGAACACCAGTCAAGAAAACCAAAAGTTTTTGAACATAGAATATTAGAACCTTACAGTGAATAGTTCATTTGCAATGTATTAATCAATCGTCTCAGACTACAGTGTTCCTTCACATCCACATCAATCATTCTCTGTCCTCGTTCTCTTTTCTTCCATGTTATTAACCTTCTGACCGTAGATAATTCACTTTCATTTAGTGCAACATACTACTTATATTGGTCGACATCATTATTACACACCACACAGTAATCAGAATGAACTATTACATGACTGGCTATTCCTGTTGAACAATGCAATCTGCTTCGACAAATTCATATGATATCGTTAAGTTTTCTAAGTTGTTAATGTTTTCAAGAATAGGACTGATATTCCAGTAATTAACATATTTTCAGTACAGTGTTCTTATAACATTGAAATACTTTTTCTTTATTTAGATGAAATGAACAACAGAGCTTTTAATGAAAAGGCATCGACTGAAGAGTGTAAGATACATCAAACACAAACAATCCAATGGTCTTAAACCATCTTTTTATTTTAGATTTCAATTGTATAACTAGAGTAATTAAATCACAGATTATCGATGACACAAATACAAGTTAGTTGAAAAATTTTTCATTATGTAAAGCACATTCAACTGGATCATGGGATAGCTTAACTGAATATTGATAACCTCTTATCAACTTCCCTTTATTTTTCATAACATCTATCTTGATCTACACTTCTATCATTCCCAATTCACATATTGATTAACTTGAGAAAACCCTTCTCATTAAGCAGTATATTCACAGAATAATATTATTTCAGTTTTCAAATGTTACTGTTGTACAGATTGTGACTGTACAATTGACTTTAAATACTTCTGACATTTATTAAATGAAAGTTCTTATTTGCTCACAACACAACTTTCAAGTGTATATGTCGTATAAGAAACAAACTTAATAACAATTCGTTGATCACTGAGTCAAAATGAAACTGAAGACTTAAGATTAGTGTTACGTTGCACTGGTTAGCAAAGTGTACGTGTATTATTCTTAAGAAGAGTAATGTTTCCTGACATATTCGTTCCCGTGTCACACAGCTTCATAGTCAGGGACGTTTACACCTAGATATCCCGCCTGCGACCGACCTCTTGTAGGACTGAGATGTATTTACAATTGAATGGTCACTGAATGGAGATGGACGTCATGTATATCAGTTCTATCTTAGTGGAGATCAAATTTTTAAAAATATTCCTATTGATGTTCGCTGAAACATTCTACACTTTTGAATATTCTATGGGGATTTTAAAACTATTGAAATGTATAGTATCGTATTTGGAAAAAAGGAAGAATTTTCCATTATTCATTTGAATGTAGATCATTATGTAACACTAACTCGTTACGTGTCTATACATCATAGAATGTGTGGAGATAATGAAAAACGTTGAAGATAAATATGGTAAGTGGTTGTATAAAATGATCGTTTCACATGACTATTAATAGCAAAACATTATATGGACAGTTCAAAATCATCCGAGATAAAGAAGTGTTTTGAAAACAATGCAGAGAATGCAAAACGTAAGATTAAAGATTTTAAAATATTCTGTCCAATGATTTATTTGTCATAGTTGAGATCTAGTTTTTGAATCGAGTGATAGTTGTCACTTGTCAACAATATAGGTATTTAAATATGTTATATCTTAAGCTCATTGTAGAATGTCTTTATTTGAAACATTGAGTTCAACAACAGGACGTATTGCCATCAGCCTAACAATTTAGTTGTAGGTTTCTGAACTGGAAAACTAAGTGAAAGGAGTTTTGTTCGTAGACTGAACAAACGTTTACTTAAGATAATGAAAAAGAACTTAATATTGACGAATAACAAACAGAACTCATTCTAGTCACACGACAACTAAACATCGTTACTGTATCCAATGTTTTAATCATACATCAATCATTCAATTCGACGACAATGTGAATAATCTACTTGGATCAAGTGGTATATACAGTTCGAACGGCAAATAGTTTTTCTGATGTTAATTTGATTTTGAAATGTGACTACTTGTATTATGACGATCTTCTGTAATTATTGATTTCTCGTTATATTTGAACAGGAGAGCTGATAGAAAAAGGTACGGAAAATTGTCGAAAACCTAATGCAATTAATGAAGAAGGTACATTCATGCAATCGTGCTTTTCATTATTAGTGATACACAATGTGAAACTATCAAGTCAAATCTTTGCATGCTACATGATACATTCAGTTGAATTTCGGATATAAAAGCATCTTATCATTCAACTGTTGAATTAATCAATCCATTAATGTTCACGCTATATTATTCATGTTTAAAGGTTCTCAATGATGATCCATTTACTTGAAATCATGAGTAAAACATTTTGTATAAAGCGATAGAGTTACTTTGTGATGAATACTATTTCATTTTCTCATGATTGACTGAAGTTAGACATTAACACGGTTGCATGCTGAATGGCTCCATGATATAAGGGATAAATGTTCGTGAGCAAGATCGATGGTTCCTGGGTTCAAATCTGGAAAGGCGAAATTGTGAGTGCTTTCGGATGATTTGTTTCATGCTGAAATGAAATGTCCGTCAAATGCTACCAGGACTTTCATTATGATCTAGTTCAGGTGACTCATCAACTTAAGCACTAACTTAAATATAAAATTTTTTATCTTCAGTTAAAGAAATTTCATACAAATTATGTATTCATATGTCAAATGTTTAATTTTTCTATACCAATTCGCATGAGAGTGTAATAAAGATAAGAGGATATAACTGGTACTTGTTTACATTCTTTTTCAGAGATAAACAAACAAACTCGCCTACTATCTTCGTTGTTTTACAATGTCTATAATTTGAATGTCAATTTATGTAAGTAAATAAGCAACTTACAGTTATCGTATATTCTCACAGACATTAGGAAACTTTCAATGTAGTGCTACTTTTCATTTTCTTAAAAATACAATTTACTGTGTCGCATGTTATATTTTCAGTTGAACATCAGTTGCTGTTGGATATTTACAACAAAATGAACAGTTAGATTGAAGAATGTAAGTAACAACTTTGACAGATCTAACTACATTTGTATAAACCAATTCCCAACAAGTATACTCAATGTTATATATATGATCACCTGGTACGCGAATGCAAGATAAGACGCCCGTGACTAAGGCATAAATTATGCCTTGTTATAACTAGTTCACCATCATGATTGCTATCCATGGAAAGCATTGAGTATTTTCTATCAACATAATATGATTATTGTAAACTACTAGATGCTGAATAGCTATATCATTCTAGCTTGTTTGAATTTCATTGATTGAGGGTTTTAACCAGACAGACAGTTTCTCTTATCTACTGTATGGAATAATATGAAATGTCAATAGAACAGATACAACATAGTCAAACGAAACAGATTGTCATGTTGATTTTAAAAAGTTGGTTTATTAAGTATTGAATAAGTTTTGATAATTATTATTATATATATGTGGGTTTCGTGGAGATAAAAGTATTGAAATCATTCATTCATCTCAGCAGGGCGACTTATCCAAACCAGGTAACACTTCACGTCCGTAAATACAGTCTCATTGGTTGATTGTTAAAACTCGAGAAAAAGTGTCCTCAGTTCGATGTTCTTGTATGACTTCATTAGTGTGCACTATTGTGAAATCCCACTCATACAAAAACAAAATAGACATTCAATGTTTCCAAATTTTTAATCGCGATCTATCTAAGCTCATTTCATTTGGTTTATGATGGTTTCACTTTTGACTAAATTAATACTTCAAATGTAAAATGATAGTTAATGAACTCATATCTTTCTTGTTTAGGTGTCAATTATTAGTTTGACATTATCACAACAATTGGAGTGTGTGTTTCATCATTATCATGATTTGCTCGTAATCAATGGCCATTTATTTAACCATGTTTATGTACAACAGGCTGGTTTCATATTACTTTTAATAAATACCTATTGGCAATTATCTAACAGTTCTCAATCCAAATATTGATGCTTCGTGGTGTAATGATTTATGTGAGGAGTGGTATGAAATGTTTTAACGAACAGAAAAATTGTTGCAACGACCGTGTTTTGCTTAAGTATTCATCAATATTGGAGATTTTTCTTATATATACCTCTTCATTAGTAGACCTAGTATTAGTAGTGGAAGTATGAGTTATATCGATAGCAGCGTTACTGTTATTTATTTAATTGTCATTTCAGAAACACGAAGAGCACGTATTCACTACATGATTGTTGATAAGTGACAGTTTGACTAATTACTAACCTACCTAGTTCCACTTCATACAAACAAAATAAACTCTCAAAATGTATTGAAGAAATTGGCACCGACTAATTATTAACAAATAAATCCAACGTAATATTCTCTTTATACATAGGAAAATATAGAACGTAATCGGTTGTTGCCTTAGTGTTGTCTGATGTGTTCATAATGTTTATGAATAACTTATAAGAATGTACAATTCCCTTCCCAATATGTGTTTAAGCATGAAAAACATAATATGAACAGAACGACAACTTAAAATTCCCTTCATGAAAGCAGTACGAACTAGCGATATTGTATTTGAACGTAAGACCTTTGAAAACTGTAAAGTGTATACAAGTTTTCAAGGTATATCACGCATCATGCAGATTAACAATCAAAAGATTGATAATGCGATAAGTTGCTGCAATGAAAAGAGATGTTGTAGATTTTTGTGGCCTTTCATTTCGATGTCACTGAAATCGTATTGCAATATAAATATAGCGAATCCTTGTGAATAGTCGTCGACTTAAATCATGCTGATGAATGACGAAATTAAATAAGCCAAATGCGAGAATGTATTGTGAATACTATATTTTGTACTATCGTCGATCTGGACAGACAAGAAATGAAGAGAAGTGTAAAGAGTGAAGTGAAACTAAACGACGCGTGGTGGAGAAGACAAATGAGCCAACTCAAGCGTGATTTGACTACATTAATGAAACGAAAACAAGCAACAACAGTGTGAACAGTTGGACGAGCAATACTCACACATGAGTTCAGATAAAATCAACCTAGCCTATAATTATGGAGGTCAAAGAATGAATAAATGTGTTTGCTTGCACGCCTAGAATAAGCTATGTGGGTTGAAATATTACTAGATACAACAATATTGGAAAATAATTTGCACTGTGGTGTACTAGTCCTAGAACTTAACTGCATTGAACATTAGTTCATTAACATTACCAGTGTTATAGACAAATATAATATACTCAGAAAGAGGTTTTTGTGTATATCATGGCAAAATAATAGATGGGTGCATTAGTCGATTGAATCTATACCAGCTTGAAAAACTTGTAAATACTGTACGGCCGACTGTTCCTAGTGTTGTACTCCAAAACATTGAGAACCTACCAATCTTGCACGTGAGAATCAAACATAGGACCTTCATGTCTCTTGTGTCATCACGTAACTCGCACAATACTGAGCCGTCCGGCATCCAACGATGTTAATGTCCAACTTCAATTATTCCACGAAATCGAGATTAAAGATGCACTCTGAAGAGAAGTCCCACACTAGAAAGGAACCCGAATTTCAAAATCTCATTTATATCTCATAGACATCAATTGATCTATCATGAGATAAATAGAGATTGATTCCTCGAAAAGTGATCAGAAGTGTTTTCGACTTTCAATACTATTTACATTTTAAATCCAAGGTAGGGTGATTTGAAGATTGCACATTTCACACAAACTTTAGACAGAAAAAAACCCAACATACGCACGTCTTTTTCGAAAGCGCATATTAGACTAGAGACGTTAAATATCTATCGCTTCCATGTGAATTCATTTCTGATACATAACGTTTTTGAGACGCATTATCTAACACATTCACTTTTGAGTAATCACGAACATTGCTACTTGGAAATATGTTTTTAGAGTGTTTGTGTTGCGTAATCTGCTTTTCGGGAGGAAATAAACTATGATAATCAGAAGTATTTGAATTGTAGTATAAACTAGTAATCCCAGGAATAACTCAATGTAATTAAGAAGTTTTAGATGAGCCCGAACGAATGTATTGTATTTGGAATTCAAAATTACAACAGTCATCAATACGAAGAAGTCATTGATTTATTTCAACATTACATAAACACAAACTAAATTCGGACGAAATTGCATTCTTTTTTAACAAAAACCAAAGTACATTTTAACTGGAAAGCAAAATGTGATCTTTGAAATAAGCGATGTCGTTACGAAGATATCAATCGGTTATACGCCTAACTGTGCGTTTCAGTACCTCGATATTCATATCGAAATTCGTTTTCGAATGACGAGTTCACCATCTATTGTGTTTTCGGGGCGAATTTGTTCAACGGAACATTAGGTAAATTGATTTGTGGATTATAGTGTCAGAGTAATAGATACGTTTCAATTGCGGAATTTATGTTGTAAAGCTTCGATACTGTCATCAATCACAAATGTTTTTGGGCAGTGACTTGAAATGTTGACGATTGAATTGGAAGGCACCAAAACCGAGTTATGGGGTAAACATCATCAACAGGGTACATGTACATTCAAATATTAAGTCTAAGATGTGAGACATTTCTGTATGCGAATTTACACTCCAATTGAATGTCATCATCAGTGGAATGATACTATGATAACGAGTAATAAAGCGTCAACCATAACACAAACTAAGTGTGGTTTATACTGCCAGTTGAAATATGCACATCAGAACTAAGAAAATGTCAAAGAAAATGTAAACTATTTGAACCTGAAACTAGGAACTTAGTGATTGTCACAATTATTTGTAGTAGCACCAGCGTGGTTAGTAAAAGTAGTAGTATTTATGGTTGTTGTTGTATTTCCAAATGATATCTCGAAATGTTTCATTACAACGAATGGTAAGTTCACTCAAACCGGATCTCTGCGTTTACGATTCTTTTTAATACATTGAACTCCATAAAATACAGTCGACTGGACACATAATGCCAACACCACCATATGAAATGAAACGTGTGTCTGATGAATTAGGAGTACATCCGTACAACTTACTGTTGATCAATTTCTTCATCATATGTCTGACGACCAAGCAAATGTTGTGAATCCCTGAGGGCTAATTCACAAAATGTATTTGATTAAATAATAAATGAAACTAGAAAAATGGTAAATGAAGTGATCCGGTGATTCGATTAAGGAAACAATACCGATATCAAACAAAACATATCATTTTTAAATAAAATGTCATTTGAGCAATGGGATTTACTAATAATCAGTAGCTAGTGCCATATTCAACCATATACGAATAGACAGTTCATGAAATATTTCATTGTTTTTATAAAATCCAAAATAAGGTTTGACCGAAGAATAACTGTCTCGGTATTGTTGAAACGTGACATACCACAGTTGAAATCAATTGAAATCAATTTGGCGATATAACTGTTCTTAATTCAATTTATCAATACAAATGTACATTATTACCTTAACAAAAATTACTGCTCAGTTATTCAACCAATGAATATGCTTTCCATAATCGATCCAAATTACAAAAATAATTACAAATTGATAAGGAATATAAGAAAATTAACGAACGCACCGAAAAGTAAGCGTGATTTTATCGTTTTTTGGATAGATGGAGTAAACTTCCGTTCACATTTTATTGCTTTGATACTGTTTTATGGAACACAAATACTGATTGTTACTTAGTTTGTTGTATAAATAATGCTAGTGATTCTTGCAGAATTACTGCAACTGACTGTGATTATTTGTTATTGCTTTGATATATGCGGGTGCTCTGAGTGACCAAAGAATTGATATTTTGTGTTTGAGTCTCGCTTGCAGAATTTTTGCATGGGCATTACCCACATACTAAGGCAAAACGGCCCTCCAAGTTCATTCAGCTTTCAGTGGATTGGCTTAGATCGGTTGATGATTTCAATGAAATACGAAATTTATTAGGCGAACAAAAAAGAACTATTTACCAACCATAAATGACTGTATTATCACAACGCCACACTAGCTCAAAACATCTATTATGTGTAACTATTCGTCATCATTTC